GAAGCTGCCTGTCGATACAGGGATTAATTTGAAATGTTACACCTCAGTCCCTAAAAAGCACATTTCATTTTGTAGCACATGTATGAGTAAAGCATGTGTCAGTAAAACGTCACTGAGACGATGTGAGATTAACAAAATATCATCACCTGGACCGCCATGGTAATACTGAGCCTGGTGAAAGAGCGAGAGGAGGCGCCACTCTGATCAAACGGCACTTCATTGTTTTCTGCTTCCCTCCTAACTTAGTCAGCAGGAAACGGGAAGCGCTGAGATTCCAGACGCTTTCGTCATTTCAAGACAGCGCAGGGAAGCCAGAGGAAGGGCCAGCCCTGAGTGATGAAATGACAAAGCGGGGAGGTGGTGAAAACCCCAGGCTGGGATGAGACGGTGAGGAGGAGCCACACCAGTTCACCAGTTTTTTGTATTAAACCCATTTTTCCAGGACTCAGCCTGATAAAGTAAGAATTAGATGGGAAACACAGGGGGGACCCCCAAGGGGGGTGACAGGAGTGCCAGACGTGGTTGTAAAGCGTGACACCCACAGAGTGAATGTCTCGAGACGGGAATTGGGGGAGGAGGGTCGGGATTCACCTCTACAGGAGGGCTAGGATTCTTCTGGAACTGGGAGATTACAGCTGAAATGCAAGGCATGGAACCCGAAGAGCAGCAAGTCCAGGAGAGGGATCCATTCAGCATGGATGGAGAAAGAGGTAAGAGGTAATACTCCCCATGCTGGCCACCATTACAGTGTTACAGATATATACTGATGGTTCATGAGAAATAAGAAGGGAATCCATCCAATACTGGATGAAGATAAGACATGTAAATACCCTAAAGCCTGAGTAAGTCTACAGGCCTCATTCTACCTCTGCTATCTTTCCCTAGATCCAAACCTGTAGCGGTTTACTGATCCACTCACATGCTCTTAAATACATTCAACCCTTTTTCACTCTGATTGCCATCCAATTCAATGCCTCCATTTTGTAGCTACTCTGCTTTTCTCCAGGTTGCGTCATTGGCTCTCCGAGCTGTTCGCATGTCCTTTGGTGATCACAGGCAGCATCGCGTCTTATCAGTTGTATTACTCAGATCAAAGGCTACTGATAAAGCCTGGATCTGGAGCGTCACCTCAGCTCCTGGAGAGTAACACTCATTTCATTGAAATTCACAGGCAAGAGATAAAACACCAGAACACGTTGTCGTTTCTCGTGCTGCTTTTACCAAGTAACTCGACTAAAACAATAACATGGAATTTTGAACCAGCAGGGTTAGAGCTTACTGAGGATGCACCACCACACACGCTGCAGTGGCAACGTCGTTTTTGTCACTGAGATCGGACAGAGGGACCACACTGGGGGCCATAGGCGTGGGAAAAACGACACAGAAAGGTCTATTGGGTAACACTAACGCCCCTCGATCATTCATTGGCAATCAGACAAGTATAAGGAAGTCAGATTCGCCCCACCTTGGGGGCTCCATGCCAGGTGAATCCGGGACCACCCTTTCCTTACCAGAAGTGACCGGACACCAGGAAACAGAAACCTAGTGGAAGGGCAATGTTGCTTGGCAGTAGATCTACCAGGATACAGAGATTCAGATTGCCAGCTCAGGTCGCAGGTGACCTGGCACTCGGAGCAGAAGCCGCAGACGAGTCACACCCTCTACAATCTGTATCTGTTTGATGACTCAAGAACTGACCAAGAAAGGATAAGGTTTTTGGTGAATTTGGGGCTATGATAGAGTTTCAGGTGGGGCTATGACTCAATGCTTCGCTCATTGTTGCCCTCCCAGTGTTACCCATGGTTTCAAATGGTCTGCTCCAGTAAGAATATGTACTTGAAGTACCTGACAGAATTTAATGTCCTGCTGTGTAGAAACTATTGCCAATTTATCAATCTGTTTGCGGTAAACTTTCATAATAAATAATTTTCCCATTCCTTAAATTGTCTCGACTTGTCCCTAAAGTCATAAGACACACACCTTTTAAAAAGCAGCAGCAAACATTACGCATATTTGTTAACTATAAGAGTAACAGTGATGCCTATATTATTGATAAGGTATAATATACTTTCCTGTGCACAGAACAACCCCCGGACAGCAATGTTAAAGTTTCTCCACAAACACACATTCTCACAGCAATTCTTCCAAGACCAAAAGGTGATACTGGACAGCGTAAAATGGCCAAACCCTAACTGGCATGTTGGAAAAAAAGTTATGCATAAATACATATTACTCATAGAGTAAGATCAGCGTATTTAAACAATCATCAAGCACAATACTGAAAGCACAAATAAAATTCCAGGGACATCAAATCTGCATTTTTTTGCCTTAACACGCCCATATCTGTAAATACTATAATGACGCCCATAATATATGACCTCCATTCTTAATGGATCAAGCTTATGCACATTAGTATATACCAATCAATTGCAGCAGCAATCCCTCGTCTGAAGTTAAAGTACACACTGCAGAATGTTTTTACTCTCCTATGCTTCAATAATTTCGGGACTTAGTCCAAAAATAAAAGACTTATTCCTGTTATATGGCTAAAGATGTTTGGAAGAGTAATTCCGTGATCTCAGGATTGTTTCGGAGTCTGCCATATATCCAGGAACCACAGTATGTGGGCATTTTTTGGACTTTTAGAGGCTGTTTATAAGTACATGGATGGATATGGTTGAAAATTACAGGGTATCCATAGAAATTGGGAAGGCATGACAGCTTGTAGGGACATGAGCTCTGTCGTAAATAGTGGCCTTAGGGTTTGACTGGACACCATTTAAAGGCATTATAGCAAGTGCCAGTGGCTGAGGGAATGAGTCTTAACTCCATGCAGAAGCCACTTCCTTCCCTTTAGGTGTGTGATGGAGCCATCTAGGACAGGCTCAGCATGTTCTCCATCAGAGCAAAAATGCACTGGAAGCACAAAGGGATGGGCTCCTTCTCTGTAGTGGCAGCTTCCCACAACCTCCACCCATGAATAGTAGAATTTTAATTAAAGAGCTCTTCCAAATTCTTCCGAACTACACTTTTACTAGGGACTTCATACTACCTATACAAAATTTTCATGTAATTAAATAGACAACTTTCTTCAACACACACTTGCATATACACGGATCTGTGTTTTTTGCACGGGTTTTTTGGAAGAAAACTGTCATTGTATTTCCTGTGTGTTTTCACCCAATTTGGGGCTAGTGGTGGGTCTGCTAGTTAGGCAGGGATGGGAGAGTGTAAGAATGGACATGAACACTAACAAGGACTCAAATTTTTATATCCTAGACCCACAGCTGTTAACATAATGATGGCATGTTTGACATGGGTAGGTCATCCTCACATTGCCATTAAGTGTACATAATCTTCAGTACTGGGCCTTAAAACAACAAACACTTGAGGACTTTAAAGAAGCTCCTTCTCTCATGCCCTGTAACATTATCCCAGACCCCCAGGAGGAGGGAGAGATTCACATTCCCTAATGTCACTCTCCCCCTTGCAGTCTCACAGGCAAAAAGCCCCCAGTGACTTCAATCAGAGAGGCAAGGTGAGCTCAAAGAAAATAACCCCAACTCTGAATATTGTAAAGGGAGCTGGGACCTTAATAGCGAAGATGAAAATGACAGAAAATGAAAAAAACTTGTTCACATTAAATGTAGGTGAAAACGTAGTGTATGTGCAGAATTGCATAAAAGAAACAGGGCCCTGCAATATTTTGCTTCCTTGTGTAAGATATTTTGTCTAATAGGCCTACTGACGTAGGAGATCGGTGCGCTTTGTTTCATTTCGTCTCTGATCTTAACAATTATTGTTCAAAAATAAGTCCAGTTCCCAAGTCAAATAACTCGAACACTGAGAGTACCTATACCAAATATACATCACTTATAAATTTAACTTCAGTGACATTATTTGGAAGATTAATCTACACGCAAAACTAATAAACAAAGAATCAAAATGACACGTCCTGCGACTCTGACCAGGATAAGCGATTCGAAATGAACAAGATGTTACCTTTTACCTTGATAGTAGGCTAATCGAGTCGCGCAAGAAACCCTGATAAAAATATAGCAAATATTTCAAAAGTAAATATCGAAATAATCAGTGATTAGCAGGTATTTCTCAAAATAGAGATTGTTTGTCTTTTATCCGAACTGAAGCTGGGCATCCTGTACAATTTGTGTAAACACGCCCTTAGACACGCCTTCCTCACCGAAGCCCCTCCCGATCCAGCCCTTCCTCGACCGGCATCTGCCTCGGCCATGGCGACTCCCATTATACCGACTCCTAACCATACAGCTGCGACCAAAAGCACAATTGATCAATACGCGACATTTGCGAGGAGCGCGCAGGGACCGGAGTCTGGCCAAGTGTCAGCAGCAAGATCTGCTCAAGACTGTCTAATTAAGTTTGTACGAACTGTATTTTTGCGTTATTTTAATCGTCAATGCACTAACTTTTAAAGTATTTTTAAATATAGGAATAGTGTATGCTTTTGTATATAATTGATACATTGTAGAAGACTAAGGTCTAGCCTAGCCTATAAGATGCATAACTGTATTTATCGCTGATTGTTTGTGTTAGCAACAAGACGTAGAACTATTTCACCAAAGAATAATTGCTCGATTGTGTGCTCTCGTTTATTAACCATACACGACATATTTTCAGTGTGCTTTCTTATAACTACCACACAATGTATGAATGAGTGAACACTCAACGGTTAATATGGGTTATCTGTAACACTACCAATCTACTACCAATCAAGTAAAAAAAATTGAACTGAATATTGTAGTTGCCGGCGCAAATGACATCATTTAAGACACTTGAAATCAGAGAGATTATATGGATGTATAGGCTAGAATCTTGGCAAAGAAAATAACAAAAATGATTCTCTACCTTCTTATTCCTTTCATCGGTTTCATTTTAATTTATATTTTATATCATTTATTATAGCCTATCTACCTGACCACATAAAGCTCTAAAATACGTAGATAGTAATATAAATGTCTTACCTCTGCGAAGGTTTCCATTATTCGGGAATTCTGTCGCTCCTGTAATCAAATAGAGCACAATGCCAAGACTTGGGAAATGAACTGGAAGGTGATGGTCCAGTTTGTGAATACTTTCCATTCACGATCCTAGCAAATATCGGCAGTTTCCGTAGACATTCCCTGGCTCGGGACGGAGAAAGCAGGTATACAAAGGGACAGACCCTCCGAAGATCTCGTATCCGTCCTTATCAGATACTACTTCACAAACCTCCGATCCCCAACTTCTATTCGGCCGCGTGTAGCTGTGTACCCTTTTTTTGCGACGATGGACCCGCCTTAGTTTAAGATATAATACGGAAGGCGGTGCTCTGAGAGCTCAACCCAGCCTCCGAACACGCCCTGTTCATCCGCTGCTTTATCATCCCCTTACCATTTGTTTTTGTAGGCGGCCATGGGAAATATAATAACAACAATAATAATAATAATATTGTAAAATATAATTTCAGTTGTAATAATCATTTATGATCAATAATTTCATTATGATTAATCGTGTTATCTACTTACACTGACCAAAGTCTGTGTGGACTTCATAGGTTATGCGCTCTAGAAAAAAATAGTATTTAAGTCTGTTTTCCTTTTTTATTTTTTCCTTTTCGCCTATTAGACGGCATGAGCTGAGTGCCGAGAAAGCTTCTGGACAAACGATACCTTTGTAAAAAAATATCTTTCCATATGGAAGCCCCAGTAACAAGAAAAAGAAACATCGTCGCACAGAGAGAAGCATGGGATTGAAATATAAAAACCTCAACTTTTAATGGAAATCAGATTCTACTTTTGCATGTCCCGAATAAGCTTTCAGAAAAAAGTGTTCGGCTCCATGCCTCTCTCTATGCGTTGATGTTTTAGTTCAACTTATGAAAGCCTGTTTGTTCATATGATGTGACAGGACAATAGCGTAGGAGAGAGTTTGATATTGGAGGGACACAACTTTATAACCAAAATATAAAGGTATATTTTGGGGGGAGTGAATGAAACCAAATTAAATATTCGGGGAACAGGTCTCCCTGTCCCGCCTGGTTCATTTTCCCCTGTGACAGGATATCTATTTTGAAAATGCATAGCTACTTCCCTATATAAATTTGGTCTAAACACATAAGAATGGGATGCCAGAAGACAATGTGGAGAAGACATGTTCTCTGTGTTATTTCAGTTTTGTTTTTGTTTTTTTTTTAAAAAAAAAAAGATATGGCTTGATAGAGAAGAGTGTGACAGGAAGTGAGTTTTGAGGAAATTCTCAACATGTATATTTGACCTACCAATAAAAACATTTGTTTATGTTTCAAATATATGTATCTGTCTCTGTTCTCTTTCCAGTGCAATGAGGCTCTTCTGTTGCTCTTTCCACAGTGTTTAACCTTAAACCCATGTGCTATAGTCCATAATTCACTCACATTCATTCTCATCTACATGGCCAAAGAAATTACTTCACAGGCACGGTCTCTAATAATGACATCACCAAGGGATGGTCATATGTAATTATTGTAAGTACAGCATACGATGTCACTTTATGCCAATATGCATTGTTATGTCATCACTATATAGGTGAGGAGACAGTGACTATTTACTTGGCTGATCTCATCTTACAGTATGTCCACCTAAAGCTCACTGCATTGCTTCAGGTGTGTGACATATCAGTTGCCTTGCAGCATTGCAGTTAAGTAGTAGAAATCAATTTTCAGCCAGCAATTATTTTATGAAGACTACACGAGACAATATTGTTTAAACAATGCTTTAAAATACTCTAGTTGAAGAACACATTTACTTGGTAACCGAAAACTCGGTGATAGCATACCTGTGATACCCTATTATTCCAAAAATAACTCCCCGTTATTCATAGAATAACTCATCAGTGTAAGCATGTGAAAGCAGTGCGATTTGGTGCACAAGGCTGGCTGACTGCTGCATCAGTATGCTACATTATAATGCAGCACCACGGAATCCAACACAAAGTTTATCGGGAATTATGGCTCACTTATTCATTAAGAACATTCACATCTTCAGCCAAGATGGCTTCCCATTAAAGAGACTTGAAAGCTTTTATATCCACTCTTGATCGTTCTGGAGAGTCAGTCTATGAACAAATGGTTCTGTCTACTTCATTGCTAACAAAATCATTAAATCAAGGCTATTATGGGAAACGGATCTGGAAATTAATCTCTGCAGTGATCAGGGGTTCTTGGTTTCATTGAGCATTTTTTATGTAACATTCCCATGAGTCATTGTGAGATATATATCTGAGAAATGCTCCTATCTTAAGTACCCCAAGCATCTTGAAGCTGAAAATGTCACATCCCTACAACTGTGGTCCCAAGCAAACCCAAACAAATTTAAGTGTATGAAAAATAGTATTCCAAATGGATGCATAGACTGATGCATGGATGAGTGAAGAATAGGAATGCAATTCTGGTAGCAGTAAAAGATTTTGTTTTAATATGGAATACATTAATATAAAATATTCCAGATTCCTTAAAAAACTTCAGTACATAGGCTGTCATATCAGTGTTTTAGTCAACTTTAACTAATTCTATAATAAACTTCAGGATAAGTGAAAAGCAACATTTTTCATAACTATTGCTGAAATGAATTCAATAAGTTGCTTGAAAAGAGGTTCTAAAAATATTATTTGGAATCTTAGGAATCTTTCCCTAAATATCACAGAAGGATCCGGAACACACCCCAGCACCAAATTTAGCCCCAATAAACACAACTCAGAAATTGGGACATTCGATACCTGTGTCTTGGACTCCTGGAATTACTTGCACGCCAGGAGGTTTAAAGTCAGAGGGAGAGAGTGTCAGTTTATCTTGATGAACTTTAAAATCCCCAATTCCCTTTTGGCCTAATTAGGTTTGCTAATTTAGAATGACTTCTTCATCTCATTTACATATCAATTCAAATAGAGGTGAGGTGGAAGAAACTCTCAACTTGCTAAACATTCCTTTGTGATTAACATTTTGTTTTGCTTCAAAGTGTACACAAATATACACATTTACCTGTATATTGATGATTTAACACAGGAAGACATTGAACTTAGTTTGTTATTGCCAAGAAACAGGAAATCGCAAAATTATGAAACACAAAACATTTTTTTTTGACAAATAACACAGATGTTGTACCACATTCTTATGTTTTTGATCAGGTTTTACTCACAATTTTGCTGACTTAAATAGCAAATGTCAAATACTGAATAACTTGGAGGAATTACATCTGTATACAGACTCAACAGCGACGAATGGCCTAATACCGCCCAGGCCTGTGATTCGCAGCTGTTACTGAGTGTGACTTTGAGCTGCGGTCCAGAACTAGCTCCGGGTAAGATTCAATCTCCGTAAACAACCTGCAAAGACCAGCAGATTACCTACTTCACACATCCGGCAACAGCTGGAAGGCAGTCGGGCACCGCTAACGGGAAACTATAGCCCAAGGCAAGTGCCTGGTGAGTTTGCCTATTGATTACTTCTCGCACTGCCCCCCCCAAGCTGCTCAGCCTCTTCAGTCACACAGAGGACAGAGACCTCAGAGCATCAAACTACTCTGGGGAAACTGTTTCCAATAACATTGACATTATGATGCTACAAAATACAACACAGTGAAAATAACAGATTTCACCGGACACAGCCTACCGTGTATCCAGTTTTGTTATTAAAAATGCATACAGTAACAAAAATAAATAGATTTTCATTTGTAAAAGTACAGCTATATTAGTCAAATGTTATGATTCCTAATACAAGCATGAACATGAACTAAACTCCACTACCAGTTTGCTTCTAGGAAGCAATTAACTGTTTTGATTTGACCTGTTCACATAAGATTTTAATCATTCACTACTCACAGGTATATGTACTGCACAAATATGCACAGGAATTGTCTTGTTATGACTACAGTTCAATCCTGTACAATGTCTAATCATGCACTATAAGTCCTATTATTTTTTTAAGAAATGTTCTATATCCTATGAACACATTGCAGGTATAACATTTTAGAGGTTATACTATAATCTTTCCATAAATGGTAACGTTTCAAGAATTCAATTATTTATGGGACCTCCCAGTGTCTTTATCTACCAGCAGATTAGTTGCTAATGTTGAGTTGCTGCAGTTTTGAACTCATAATGGTTCAGAATGTTGTTTTGTGAATCTGGTTAGTCGTGAAGGAATGGATCAGATCACCAAATGGCTAAGATTGATAAAAACCGGATTTCTAACACATTCTATGGAGCAATTTGTACATTCCTTCCCCGGTGGTTGTCCCCCATTCCTCCCATTCCTCAACCCCCTCTCTTAAAGACCACAAGAAGCCCAGGTGCTCACGGCTAACATTCCAGAAGGGAGCTCTCACTTCCTATTGGAGGACTGATGGCTGTGTCCACCCTCCTTTTGGTTGAAGGCTAAGCCCCTGTAAGCTAATCCAATTTAAAATGGAATGGTGTTGATAAACTGCTGAGGAACCACTTGTACATCCTTTCCATAAACTATGAAATTGGAGATGTGTCCGTACAGTACAGAAGGCGTCGTAATGGACTGGGAAGAACATACACTAGTGGCCAAAATTGTGGAAACGCTTAGCATTGGCTTTAAAAAGTACTATAGGAATATTGATGGTAATGTCTATAAACAAAGAATGTTTACAAATATCATACATTGGATGGTTAAGTTTGTGTCTGGAGCAACTGTTGAATAAAGCTCTGCGATTTGTAAAAATCTGAAGTAAAAATTTGAAGTGATTCCACAATTTTGGCCACTAGTGTAGCTGTTCTGTCTGCACAATCGCATCACCTAATTCCCTCTAGTTGATTACAGAGGATTTCTGGCAACCTTTCCATGGGTCAAGGCACCCTAGGTTGTTACCTTGATGCTGATTTTTGGCTAGTGTCTATTTTTGTACTGGTCTTTTATCACCTACAAAACAAAAAAGACCAAGTCAGAATGAGCATACCCAGCCCAGCGGCCTATGGAGACTTAGACCCCAACGACAAGACATTGTTCAGGGAAACCAGCTGCTCACATGGACAACAAAGTCCTCACAGTGAACAGTGCCCCCCGGGACATAATCCCAGCAGCCCAATGTGAGTCCGACGTAAGGCTAGTGTCTGGCCAACGGGTAGCCAGTTGTAATCCAGTGGGAAGGCTCTTGTCTTCTGTGTAAATAAAGCAAGATTTGGATCAGGATGCTCTTGACAGCTTCATTTAGTTTCCATCTTGAGGGAAACAAAATGTAATTGTAGTAGTTAAATATCCCACA